GAGAAACATTTGGAAATTTACCGCGACCACGGTCCGACTTTGGAAATAATTATGCATACAATGGACTCAGGACAAGGTGCGTTCCTATAAGTCTTCTAATATGACCAAGTTGCGAAAACGAGGTCAAACATTTTCTATACAACAGAAGGAGACTGCGACCACAAAAAAGGTCACACCATATTGGTCTCCATACTTTCAATAAAATTGATGTATTTCTTAGAGAGCTCGAAGGAGCTCAGACCAAAGCGCGATGTCCTTGTTTTCACCGGACATTAATGTGACGCATCAAGATACCTTATATTCCTAGCAGTATAAAGGTAAACCTTTACATATATTTATAAGAAAGTTTAAGATAAATTATATACATAAGAACATATATATGCAAATATAATTAGGCATCCATTATTCCAAAGTTCGTTGCGAGTTAGGCCCAAAGTATGGAGTTTCTCTTAGTATTATCTGAAAAGCACAGAAGCAACTAATGAGGAATTTATCCCGTTTCATCTGTTTTTAGCTTAAAATTTCCCTGATGTAGCTACCTTTCCTTTAGAATCGGTGATTGTGACGCTTGGGTCAATAGGGCTATGGTGGCTGGCCTCCACACTAACAGGTCTACGCAGATGCCGCCTTTCATCCATACGAGTTTCCGAGCGAAAAGTCTGGTTGCGTGGCAAGCCTCCTAATACCGCTATTCCACTGGTTGAAGTGAGAATACAATTAGTGCAGCCACCTGTCGGTAACGGTGGTAAATCACCAGGAGCCGCATTGCCAGTAGATCCAGTGATGCTGACAAGGGCTGGTGGACCGCAAAGTGACGAAGCAAAATTCGTCTGTGCGGAACAAAGAATGCCATCAATAAAATAATGAAGATAAAATAGTAACTTCTTTTAAATGGTTCAAAAGGTGGCTTTAAAATTAATATAGACTGGTTAATGAAATTTGACAGATGCCTCACTTCCTGTAGATACCTATGAACATTGTAATTCTGATAACTATAGAACAAATTAAATAGTGATAAGAGTCTTCTAAAAATAAATATAAATCAAGAAAAAAATGTGTGTGATTATATCACATATTATTTTAGTTCTGACGTCTGAATTAATTCCTGTGCATAATTGATGCAGACACAATCTTCAAGAAAGAGTCATCATTTATTTTCGAA